GGTCTAGGCAGGACCTAAAAACGTATACCAGAGAGTTTAAGAGAAGGAATATACCTGTCACCATATCCCTTACCCCCATGGGCAGTTGCTGGAGAGGGACTAGAAGAGATGAAAACCAAGCAAGGGGTAGGGGTAGAGATTAACAACTGTAGAAAAACACTATTTCTCCAGGGCTGAAGGGACAAAGGAACGGGTCGGAGTCACTGCAGCCTGAGAGCCACAGCCGCCTACTGAGAACTGGGACACTGGAGGAGGAAGCCATCCTCCAGAGTCACTGCCAGAGACTGCAGGATTGTTGGTGTGTGGGGTGGGGTGGGGTGGGAGGACTACATCCTGTCTTTTCCCCACCCCAGTCTCTAATCTGCCATACCTCCCATTGGCCAAACTTAATAGGAACCCAGTGGGTGGGGGAGTCTGGGAAATGTAGTTCAGCCGCCTCAGTGTTGAGCCCAGCAGGGGAAGGGCAGGGAGTGGATCTAAAGGCAAATAGTAAATGACCAGCATACAGCCTCCCCATCAAAAAGCAGGGCACACAGGGGCAATTGTGCTATAAACGGCAATGGAAGGCATACACTGCTAGCCCAGAATTTGGCTCCCTTATACCTGGTTCAATGTGTGTCCAGCACAGGAGTAGAAACCAGCGGTTATGGGCATCCTGTGATACTTGAAAAGCAGGGAAGGGCAACTGGGGCTCCTGATGGTGCCGCCTCCTCTTGGCCTTTGGGCATCTGGAAGCTTCTACAGACAGCTCAGCACAACTTGGTGCTGATCTGCCACAAGAAGCAAGCTCTTTTTTTTTTCTTTAAAGTGAGTGGGAGCAGCCTCAAGTTCCTCAGCAACTGCTCTGGGGTCTGAGAGAAACAGATGCAGCTGCTGCTAAAAATCAGGAGGCCATTAAGTGGGATGAGGAGCCCCCCCCCTCGCCCCCCGCCAGCTCCTTTTGCAAAGGCTGTCATCTCTGTCCCTGTGGAGTCTTCCATCTCCTCTCCCCTGCAGACCCCTATGTGACCTCAGTGAGTAACTGGGAAGCAGCTGCCACCTGCTGCTCTGGAAACAGGCAGGATCCCACAGGTGACAGCATGAGCAGGGGCTAGCTAGAGTCAGGCCAGAGCATAAGAGAAGATACAGAGTCTGAGCCTGTCCTGCCAGGATGTCATAGAGATGGTTTTGGGAACCCTTCCCTTTGATCCAGAATTCTGCCTCTAGGAATTTATCACACAGATAATCTTACACAAGTGCATGAAGACTTCCAGACAGGCTACTCACTGCAGTATGCATTGCAATTAGAAGAAGACTGGGAAAAAAAAAACAAACAAGTAGGCAATAAGAGGTGATTTGACTAAACAAATTATGGTGTATTTGAACAATGGAATACTCTGTGCTCTTATAGGGAATGAGACGCATCTGTATGTGCAGAAACAGGCTGATCTTCCAGATTAATTCAGTGAAAAATGCAAGGGACAGAACAGTGTGTCCAGTATGCTCACATTTGGGGGTGGGTAGGGAGGAAGAGGTGTTTTATGTATATTAGACAAGCATCTCTTGCTATCCAAATCTGTTTGGTTTCTGAGTTTCAAAAGTGAGGGCTCAGAAAGCAAGGGATGCCACCCTTATTGGAATCTCTGATTCCTGCATTTAATTTCAGAGAGCAAATAACAGAGCTCATAGGTAAATAGTTCATCCGAGAGGCTATCAGAATCCACTTTGTTCCTAGGTTGGAATAGTGTGGGGATACCCTGAGCAGAGGGTAGGGATATCTGTATATATAAAATTTTCACCCCATGTATGTGTGGACTTCCCTCTGGGAAGATACACAGGAAATTGGTCAGTAGTGGCTGCTGCCAGGAGGGTAATTCAGCCCCAGGGAAATGGGTGGAAGGGAGACTTATTTTGCAGTTTACATACATGTTGTGGGGTTTTAAAATGGCCCCAAGTTCTTTGAGAGGTGGGTCTATGTTCCCTCCTGTTTGATCTGAGGGGGTTTGCATCTGCTTAGAGCAATAAAGAATGGTGCAAGTGACATTATGTGACCTTAAGGCTAAGCCATAAAAGTTCATGCAGTTACATCATGCTTCTTGGATTGCTTGCTCTGGGACAGTCTCTCTCAGACCCCAGCCACCATGGTGGGTGTGAAGCCAAAGCCACACCAAGTGGCCTGTGTAGGCTCTGTGGTCCCCAGTCCCATCTGAGCTCCAGCTGAGAGCTCATGTTCTAGGCCAGCCACATGAATGAGCCATCATAGAATTTCAGCCCCAGTCAAGCATGCAAATGACTGTACCTTCATGCAAATGACCACAACACCAGGTGCCCCAGGTGAGAACCATCTGTGTGAACAAAGTCAACATACAAAACTGCAAGAGACAATAACACTTCGTTGTTTTCAGCCATTAAGTTTTGGGGTAGGTGTGTGTATGTGTGAATATTATCACATGTATTACCTAGCCAAAATCGAGAGTATCTTCCTTGATGGTGCAAAATGTGTAATGTGCAGTATGTACTTTATTCCTCACTAGGTGCACGGCCATTATGTCCATTTCATAGATGAGAAAACCAAAGCTCTGAGGGGTTCTTTGGTTACTTGTTCAAGATCACAGATCTCTTAAGAGGCAGCTCTGGGGTATGAAACCAGGAGGTTCTCTCAGTCCCAGGCTAACTGTCACGCCTGGCTCTCATTCCCTGCCCACTGTGGGCCTCAGTTTCCCCCGTGAGGGGTTCAGAATGAGGGAGGTGGACAACTCAAAAGCCTGTGCAGTAATGTGGAGGGCTGAAGCGGGTGTGGTGGGCTCTGTCTGGAGCAGCCTCAACTCAGCTCTGGGAAAGCCAGCTCAGAATTATCAAATCTTTGCATTTTTAAAGGGAAGCCAAAAACAGATTTTTATGTGTAATCTATTCCTGTTCTGATGCTGGCAACTAATTCTTCTCTCTCTCTTTTTTTCTTTCTACACTTGATCTTAGCCAAAAGGCCGAGAAGCCATCTTTTTTTCTTTTCTTTTCAGACTGAAAAGCAAAACAAAAGCAGCCAATTTGCCTCTCTGGACTAGAAGATCTCTAAGGAGGCTTTGGCTCAGACATCTCGACTTCCAGTAGTAGAACCTCTCTGGGGAGACAGCTCACATTCCAATCCCAAGAGGCTCAGATCTAAGAAAGGAGAGGGAGTGTGAAGATAGATGCTCCTTCCTCTCCTGCTACCCACCCTGCCAACAGTGGTAGGGAGGCAGGGGGTGCCGGGAAGCCAGGCCACGGGGAGCTGAGCACTGCAGGAGGGCGGTGAGCTTGTGATGAATCAGCTGCCATAAGCTGTTGGCCTCCCCAGAGTTGTCAGGCTGTTCCCTGGGGCTGTGGGAGCAGACAAGGCATCGGGGGAGACTGAATTTCCGTTGCAGCGGGAAAACTGGCCCACACTAGCCATTGTCTCCACCTCTCCTCCTCACCCCACTGCTTTTCCAATGGGAACCCTGCCCCTGCAGCCTCCTCTAATCGACCCTCCTTATGTGGAGGGAGCATCGATCCAATCCCTGCTGTCTTTCTGGGCCTTTCCTCCACCCCTAGAGTCTTCGATTCCCTCCTGAGCCTGGGTCTTCAGCTGACTTGTCTTCCTCTGAGACACAGCCTGACAGAGTGCACGGTGTGATTGATGAGCTCAGAAGCTCTGGCTGGCAAGCAGGTGGGCAGCCAGCCAGACACACGCTTTCACAAGATAGCAGAGACCCCCGGGGGGTGGGGGGTGGGGGGCAGGAGAGCTCAGAGCTACTAGGAGGCTCCCTGGGGTCACCCCACTGCTGACCCCCCTCCCGTCCCCTGGGCAGAGCAGATAGCCACATGGGCCATTGGTACAGCACCAGACACACAGTCAATGAGAATGCTCCCGCCTTTTCCCACTTCGAGACACACACACAAGGAGGTGGAGATGGGAAACTTTTTAAAGCTGGGAATGTCTGTCACTCAGCCATGCCACTCAGTCCAGGTGTGTATAATCTGCCCATTCACTCATCCATTCATTCGTTCATGCAAAATGAGGGATTACTGTGGGGATCGGCACTTTGTTGTAATTGCTAGGTGGTCTGGGGGGAGGGGGGAGGGCGGGTTTGAATCCAGGCTTCTGTGGCTTTCTAGCTGGGTGACCTTGGGCAGGTCACGTCACTTCTCTAAACTGCTGCTTCTCCCTCGGGGTTGCCTCTGTGAGATTCAGTCAGACAATACATGTAAGTACTTAGATGATACATGTTACAAATGAGGAAACTGAGGCCCAGAGAGGAATGGATTTGTGCAAGCGCACACAGCAAGTCAGTGGCAGAGCTGGGGTGAGAGCCCTGACATCCTGCCTGCTGGTTCAGGGCCCCTCCCACCCTGTCCCCACTTCTGTCAGTCCGCCTTCCCTCTCCAGCCTTCTGCCTTTGAAGGTGTCAGGAGCCGGCAGATTGGAGCTGACAGGAAATCCCTGAGTGCCTTTTACTAGGGTGAAGGCATCGAGTTACAGGGGGGGCAGATGGGGAGACCCATTAGGGAGCTAATGCTGAGTTCCTGTCAGTTCCATTAGTGTGTCTGATTAACCCATTAGCACCCACTGGAAGCAGGAAGCACAGGGACCCCGGAAGGGATGAGTCACAAAGTCAGTCAGCTTTGATGAGGCCCCAGGGAGCAGAGCTGGAGAGACTGAAAAGGAGTCTTGCCTCTTTCCTTGGAAAGTGGGCTTCCTTAGAAAAGGTGTCAGGTCGGTCAGGGATGACAAAGACCAGGCAGGACTCAGAATCAGGGCGATTGGGAGCTCAGTGGAGCCCCTTGAACTGACCCTTTGTGCAGATGTGACAACTGAACAACAGAGAAAAGGAATTTGTGTCTGAGTCACTCATAGAGAATCCAGGGTTCCCGCCCATCATACCACTTTACAGGACTCAAGTGTGTTACAGGAACCATGGCTAAAAAATACAGCCAACCATTATTAGGGTACTGCTAACTACTGTACATGCATTATCCTATTTGTTATTTATTTATTATTTTACACTGTGAAGTCTATAGAACGGCTTGTCTCAGAGGAGAGAGCACCAGAATAGGTGGGACTTTCTTGCTACAGCGAGCTCAAATTGCATCAGATAGTTCTGACGATCTGCTACAGTGTTGCTTGCAATGCATTATTTTATTCTCAAGGAAACCCTGGGAGGTAGGTACTATACCCCCAATTTACACGGCAAAACTGAGATTCAGAGCACTTGAGTAATTTGCCCCGTCAGACCGGTAACACACAGAAGAGCCAAGATATGGACCCTGGCAGCCTGATCACCAAATCCTCATCTTTGTCATCCTGCCATCCTACTGAGCAGCTAAGACAGACAGAACCACTATTTGATAAAAACTTCCTACAGAGTCCTTCACATAGTGATGCTGTTGTAACCAGGAGCAAACTTTCCTCTATCCTCAAGGTTCTTTTGGCTGGTCTAATAATCAAATAGCCACATGGAGTTTAGCAAGAGAAAATAACCAAATTTAATACACACATACGTATGGGAAGCCTGCATACACGGGAGTCAGAGACAAACATGCAGGAGAAGTTCAGAGATAGAAAGAGAACATGGGTACATAACATCCTGAGCTAAGGATGAGGTAAGGTGCTGTGGAGGCTTCAAAGAGCCACTGTAGAATGATAAAAAGAGCAGATAATCAGTCAACAGAAGTTTGCCTTGCCATACAGGTGGGCCAAAAATGTTATCCCTGGTAATTTCTTATTATGGGCAAGGCCTCTAATTCAAATTTTTCTAGGGAGTTAAAGGGAGGGGCAAAAGTTTCTATTGAGCCTGAAGTTAAAATTACCCTTAGCTCAAAACAATCCACATACCACAGAAAAACATATTGGGGTGAATAGCTCTGACCCCAACACCAGCAACCCATGGAGAGAAGCAGAGGCAGAACTGGAGATTCCAGAAGTGGTTGGAGTATGGACTTCATCCCTAATATAGGACGGTGGGGAGCCACTGCAGGAAGGATGCAGTGGGGTGGGGATAAATGCCGGGGCGGGGGGAGGGGGGGGGCTGGCTTGGTGGAGTTTCCAAAGATAAGGAGGGCTTTGGTGATTGATTAGATCTGCGAGTGAGGGGGCAGGAATGTCAGGCAAGTGGCCAGGTGGGGGGTGGGGGGGATGAGGAGCCAGAGAAGAGAAGTCTGGGGAAGAGAGACAAATTCCCTTGAGCTGTTGAGTACAAGATGTCTAAGAGGCATCCAGGGGGTTCTGTCCAGAGTGTGGCTGGACTTACTGGCTTGAATTTTAGGCCTTACTTACTGGTCTTAAAGTTCTGCAGAGAATAGACTGCAGATCTTTTTACCCTGTGCCTCAGTTTCCTGATCTGGAAAATAAATAATAACATCACTGCATAGAGTTCTTGTAAAGAGTTGATGGATATAACTTATAATGTATAAAGCACTTAACAGAGTACCAGGCACATGGGGATACTTAATAAAGGTTAGCTAAATGACTATATGAATGGATGGTTCTTTGCCTGTGGCTGATAGAAGTTATTTAGAAAAAGAGGTGCTTTAGCTGGTTTGGCTCAGTGGATAGAGCGCTGGCCCATGGACTGAAGAGTCTCAGGTTCAGTTCCAATCAAGGGCACATACCTCGGTTGCAGGCTCAATCCCTGGCCCTTGTCAGGGCTTGTGTGGGAGACAACCAATTGATGTGTCTCTCACATCCATGTTTCTCTCTCTTTCTCTCTCTCTCCTCCCTTCTACTCTCTCTGAAAATCAATGGAAAAATATTCTCTGGTGAGGATTAATAATAATAAAAAAAGAGTTGATTTAAAAACCCAAGGACCTTTTCCTCCCTCTTTAATGTTCAGGGCTGGTTTGGAGGGTAAGGGAGAAATATAGTAACACAAATGTTACCTGGAAAGGATTGAGTGGGAGAGGGAATGGTGCCATGTTTCATCCTTACCCCCACCCTGAACACACACACACACACACACACACACACACTCACACACACACTTCTGCTAGGGATGCATACCAGCTACAAGAAGAAGAAGAATGTCATTCCATTCATATGGTAGCTTCATCTGTGGTCTGACTCATCCTACAATCATTCTGACTTTTGTCCGTATTTTGCAGATGAGGAAACAGAGTAACTAACCTTCCAGGACTCTTCCTTCCCTTGAACCCATGTCCAATAGCAGGTTGTTCTGAAAAATCCTTGAAAATATAACCTGAATCTATCCATTCAGGGGAAGGAGGAGAGCCATCGCATTCTTTGTTTGGAGCTACCATGATTTTTAATTTTTTATTATTATTATTTTTAAATATATTTCTTTAGTGATTTCAGAGAGGAAGGAAGAGGAAGAGATAGAAACATCAACGATGAGAATCATTGATCAGCTGCCTCCTGCACGCCCCCTACTGGGGATCGAGCCTGCAACCTGGGCATGTGCCCTTGGCCAAAATCGAACCTGGGACCCTTCAGTCTGCAGGCTGATGCTCTCCACTGAGCCAAACTGGCTAGGGCACCATGGTTTTTTAGAAGTGCAGATAGGTCCCCGCCACACCCTTGCTTAGAACCTTAGAAGGTTTCCTAGTTGACTCGAAAAAAAAAAAAAAATCCAAAACCTTCCTTTGCCCACAGGGTTCTGTGCCATCAGGCCCATCTCTCTCCCCTGTCTCTTCCCCCTCAACCCCCTGCCCCCGTACCCTCATTCCCAGCCCTCCAGCCTCAGTGGCTTTCTTTCTGTTCCTCCATCTCCACAGGGTGCCCTGTCTCCTGCCCTCGTCTGACCTTCTGCACTTCCTGCAGGCCCCAGGGACACATCCCTAGCAGGCTCCCGGGCCACCCCTACCTCCTCCCACCCTCTTAGCACAAGCCCCGTTTCCTTCTCATTCCAGCTGTCATCCTATCTGATATTCCGCCCACAGTGTCTCCCCCAGTGGAATGGCAGCTCTGCCCCAGCAGGAACCTTGTTAGCTTGCTCTCTCCTTAATCCCCAGTGCTCAGCCACATCTGACACACAGTAGATGCTCAACAAATATCTGATGAGCGAGTGTGTCATTGTGCCTGGATCTCTGTCCTCTCGGTGGGAGATCATGAACTTGCAACAAAACCAACCAGCAGACATGGAGCCCTACCCTGTCGCTGGCCCTGGGCTGGCCAGGGGGCAGCCACAGAGACATGCCCCTGGGCAGAGTGACTCACTGGCCCCGCAGGCAGAGACATTGCTGGGGTCCAACCCCAGCAGGTCCAGGGGTCCCCAAAGGTGTGGATGGAGTCGGCGAAGAAGGAATGACACAGAGACAGCGTTCAGTTGATCAGCAGCCTAGCCAGGATCTCTAGCCAGGATCTCCAGCCAAGTTCTGGTCTGGATCTCCAGTGAAGTTCTGTTCAGGATCTCCAGCCAGGTTCTGTGTCCATGTTCTCTTGCTAGGTTCTCCAGCCAGGTTCTCCAGGTTCTCCAGCCAGGTTCTGTAGCCATGTTCCCTCGCTAGGTTCTGTCCATGTTCTCCAGCCAGGTTCGGTCACCAGGTTCTAGTCAGGTTCTCTTGCCATGTTCTATCCAGGTTCTGTAGCCAGGTTCTGTCTCTAGGTTCTTCAGCCAGGTTCTCTCGCTAGGTTCTGTCTCTAGGCTCTGTGGCCAGTTTCTGTCCAGGATCTTTTGCCATGTTCTCTTGCTAGGTTCTGTCTCTAGGTTCTGTCTCCAGTTTCTGTCCAGGATCTTTTGCCATGTTCTCTCCAGCGAAGTTCTTCTGTCTCTAGGTTCTGTGTAGGTTCTGTGTCTAGGTTCTGTGTCCTGTTGTCTTGTTACATCTGTATTTATACCAGTTGATTCTAATCCTATCAATCTCTATTCCAAAGGTTAGGGCGTTTCTTATCTCCATTCCAGGGAGTAAAGATTATGTAGCTTAAGCATGATTGTTCATAGTTGAAGTGATTAATTACCCGCCTGGCACTTAGTTAAGGGGTTTTATTCCCTCCCTAACTTCAGGGGAAAATCCCTACCTGGGGAAACAACCTTTCTCAGAGAAGTGACCTTGGTTAAAACACATAGTGCCAAGAAGGTGAGCAAACATATTAAGAACAGTATGCCATATATGTCAGGTCCCTTGAAACAGCAAGGATGGACCAGCTCCCGGCAAGACATGAGCACACTCAGTAAGGCCAAAGGAGGCTCATGTGCCTGGCCCTGCTGGAGCTGCCTGGGTTCAAACGTAGCTGGAGAAAATGCCTCCCGGCTCCTGAATCCTGTACGAGACCTCAGAGCTCTCTGGGTCCCGGAGCTGGGCCTCTCACCAGGGACTCCCACTGCCTGGAACACCGTCCGCACTGCACCCCCAGCCCTCCCTGGCTGTGACTCATTCTTCAGGCCCGAGTTTCTACATCACTTCCTCTAGGAGGCCTTCCCTGATCCCTGATGTCCTACCTTCATGGTATCTCTTTAGTGGATTCCAAGCCTGGCACTTATCACTTTTCACTGTCGACCAGTTTCCCTGTCTGGGCTTTCACCTCCCCCTACTCCCCCCAACCCATTGGGCTGTTTGTTCCAGGGAAGCAAAGACCTTGATCTGTACTCGGCACAAAGTAAGAGCTCAAGAACTATGTCTTCTGTGTGAACAAACACATGGGCAGAGGCTTTCTGGGAAGCAGAATTTCAACTTTATGAGGCCCAGACCAGAGCCCCCTGTATAGTCACAGCCCATTCTGTGTGTCTGCAGCTGGCGGGGCCGCCTCCTCCTCCTCTAGGGGCTCTAGTGCCAAGCACCGAACTGATTCTGTCTCTGTTTTCTTTAATAGGTCTATGATGGTACACATTTCCACAGGCACAAAAGTGTAAACACTGATGCTCCCCCCCGCCCCCCTCCACCCCCCCCCCCACCTCCCGCCCCTCCTCTGGGTGGTACATGCCCCAAGGGATCCCTGCAGCTGAATTTCCAGGCCTCCGGAGCCCTGGTGACCACTTCCTGCTGGAAAGGAGGGTGGCAGCTCTGTCCTCCTCTATAGCTGTATTGGGGCAGAAGCCATGATGGGGTGAAGGCAGAGGGGATGTGAGCCAGGATGATTCATCCCCAACTGAAGACTCCCAGGCTCCAGGGCATCTGGGGAACCCCCTGCTGAGAGAAAAGACAGTACCGGCTGTCCCCCATTACAGGGTCTC